TTTTGAGAAAGGGTCTCCCTGTAGCCCCAGCTGGCCAGTGTAGATCAGGCTGGCCTTGATCTTACAGAGATCCACCTGCCTCTGCTGGGATTAAAGGCATGGCCACCACTTCCAGCTTGGCTATTATAGTTTTAAAGGCACTTTTCCATATATTATACCATTTATGTCTCAGAAACTCATTAATAAAGAATTTTGTATCATTCAAACTTTATGGATTAGGAAACATTACACAGCTTTTGACTTCATTACCTTGATGACACGTGCTATTTCACGAATGGCCTTGGTGTTTATTTACCAGCCTCCTGCATTTACAGACCAAGATGAGACCCTGGGAAGGAAAAAAGACCTGAGAAATACATTTTCTTCTCCCTTTTTCTTCCCTCCCTCCCTCCCTCCCTCCCTCCCTTCCTCCCCTCCCTCCCTTCCTTCTTGTTTAGAGTCTCACTCTGTAGCTCTCAGTTTAGGCTGGCCAGAACTCACTATGTAGCCCAGGCTGCCCTTAAACTCTCAATTATCCTTGTGCTTTAAACCCCCAGGTGCTAGGTTACAGGCATGATCACTATGTCAGCCTCAGGATGTAGTTTTTGAGCAAGGATGAGTACCCCAATATTTTTGGGTACAGAACTGGGGTTCAGAGCACAGGGGACATGGCCTCTGACTTTGATTTTATCTGTTTATATATCCCCCAAAGGGAAAGGGGAAGAGGCATGAATGTTTTGAGTAAAGGGTTTCTTTTTATAAAGGTTTTGTTTTTATTTTTTGTTTTTTTGAGATAGGTTCTCATTATATAGCCCTAGCTGGCCTCAACCTCACAGAGAATCCTGCCTGTGCCTCCTGAATGCTGAAATTAAAAGCATGTGACACCGTGCCCAGCTAAAGGCCACTTTAAAACCATGGCTTAGGGGACAGATTCATTGAGGATGGTCCACACAGCTTCAGCTCTCTCTGATGTCCTATGCCTTCCCTGACGTTTCTTTTCGCGTTTTGTTCTGTTTTGATTTTCTTTTTCTTTTTTTTTTTTTGAGACAATCTCTATATAGTCCTGGCACAAGTCCTGGAACTTGTGCAGACCAGGCGGGCCTCGCAGCTATCTTCCTGCCTCCGCCTCCTGATTGTGAGATTACAGGTGTAGTGGTCTTCCTTTCACTTAGAAAATTTAAATTTATTTTATGTATGTGAGTGTTTTGCCTGTACATATTGTAAGGTTACCTGTGTCATGCAGTGTTCATGGAGGCCAGAAGGTTGACACCTGGAACTGGAGTTATAGATGGTTGTTAGCTGCTATGTGGGTGCTGGGAACTGAACCTGGATCCTCTGCAAGAGCAGGCAGTGCTCTTAACTGCTGAGCCATCTCCAGTCCCCTGCTTTTCTCTTTCAACAGCAGCTTTGATTGGAATGCCCTTCCCTAAGATTTATCAGGAGGTTGACATTGATTCTTTAACTGCTCTGGGTAGTGTAATGTGATAGCAAGGGTTCTGAATTTCAAACAAGAAGGAACTAGAAGAGCAAAGCTCATGCACTGAGTACCTACTTTTCATCATTCAATTCATCCCATCTTTTTGAGCTCTTCCCATGAATCAGTCTTGGGTGAAAGTCACTATTGGGTGATTGAGCCAAGGTTGTTTGAGTTTGAATCTCAGCTCCACTAGTTATCAACTGTAGGATCCTAATATCTTCTTTTTGATTTAAAAACCAATTTTATTAAAAAATTTCAAAACTAAGACCACACTAAGTCTACTATACTATGACTCATTAAAGAAAAGTGATATTCTTAAACTTTTTAGAGAAAAAGTATTCAAAAAGAAATAATGTATTTGACTCACAGAATTTTCATCAACACATATCTCATTAGAAAAATTAGATAAAGAAGAAAAAGGAATAATATTTTCAAGCAGTTACAGAAAATAACTGTCAATTTTCAGTTCATTGTCAAACTACAATTAGGGATAATTCATGATATTTTTCTCATTTAACTTTCCTTGTGCCTCAGTATCTGTCAAATTAGAAATGTTGACAATGTCTACCTCAAAGGACTGTTGTGAGATTAAATAGTTAATACTGTGAGATGGTGGAGATGATGATGATAATGATGGGGTTATGGAATAGTCAGATACAGTATTTTGGCTACATATAGTTGTGAGTTTTTGTTTTTAAGCAATATTGTGTTGCTGAGGGATAGTGTTGGAGTGTAACTTCAGTAAGCACAGTGGATAGTACCATAGAAGAGGAAGAAGGCACTGTGGGAGGGGGGGGGCCCAGGCCCCCTCTTAGGCCAAAGAAGCAAATTAGAGAAAGTGATGCTTCAGCTGAGATCTAAAGCAGAAATGAAAGTTTGCTGGGCTGGGGGTGGGGGCAGGAGGCTATAGGTTCTTGTTTTAGGCAGAAGGGAGAGTATATGTGAAAGGCCTGAAGAAAAAAACAATCCTGTGATGTTTAAGAAACTGGAGAAAACCAGTGTTACTTTGTAAGCATTATGAGACATGAGCCTGAGAGTAAGAACAGAAAGCATATGATGGAAAACGTATACATGATCTTGAGGAAGTTGGGTGACCAAGACTAAGTACTGTCATGAGACTTGTGCTAATTTCCTTAAAAAATATTTTATAAATTTTTTTATTTGTGTGTATGAGTGTATTGCCTGCACGTATGTAAGTGCACCCGTGTTATGAAATGCCTTGGAGGTCAAAAGAGGGAGTCAGATTCTACTGGAACTGGAGTTACAGATGGTTGTTAGCTGCCACGTGAGGGCTGGGCATTGAACCTGGGTCTTCTGCAAAAGCAGCCAGTGCTCTTAAGCACTGAGCTATCTCTCTAGCCCCAATTTTTACTGAGTTCTTCAAGCATCATGGTTCTGTGATGCAGATGCTATTAGCTACATTTTCTTTCTTTTTTTTTTTTTTTTTGAGAAGTTGAGCCTCTGGAAAATAGTCCTTTGTCCAAAGGCACATGTTTAGAAAATACATAGCCAGGATTTGAACTTTGGTCCCTTTGGTTCTAAAGTTAGAATTCCTTTGATGAAACTAATGCCTTTTGAACTTGAAGTCTGGCTGTTAGTATTATGATTTGGAGCCAACCTTTGTTCCCTTAACCTCATTTGCTCAGATTACACACAGTATTGATAAATACCTGGATTGTTGAAAACAAATATCCCTAAAAGGTCAAGCAAGACATAGCCGTGGAACCACTGTTTATGGGCCCAGGTTCTTATAAAGAGAAATGTTCTTCTTCATAGTCCAGTGACCTGAGACAGAACCCTGTAAGCAACTGCCTGAATGTTAGATGGGTTGTCAGTCATCTTTCAAGGACAGTTGGAGTCCACAAACAAATCATCTTGCCTGACAGGTTCAGCACACTGGGCTTTTCGCCTACAATCTTGTTACCACTGAGATTCACATGGGAGTGAGCCTGATGCTTCCCTCAACCTCCCAAGCACCCATCTCCCCAGGGCTCAGTGTTTGCCCTTTTATTTTTCCTTCAGAGGCTGTTGAGCCTGTTCTGCCTAAGACACGATGAGCTCAGCTATTGGCTGGAATTATTCTTTAACTTTTTTTCTATTTCGAGATGAGGTCTCCTTATGTTGTCAGTTTGACTTCATACTCAAGACCCTCCAGCCTCCACCTCCTGAGTGCTAGAATTACTTAACTCTATCGTTGTCGTTTAAGATGTCTTGTTTTGGTCTTAGGGACAGATGTCTCTGGGTGACAGCAGAATAGTACAGGGGGCCTCAGTGGATAACGATTGCATTCACCCAGGTAGGGCTTGTCAGGTACTCTTTGGGAGGTCTTTTTATTTTGTTGTGTTTGTTTTTTGTTTTTCAGTCTTCAAAACAATCCTCTAGATTAAAGACTCTCCAGCACAACTGGAGGAACTAGGCCTATACCTTAGCAATATGCTCATTAATTTTTTTCATCTAGAGAGTAGGCATTTACTAAGTGTCACTCTGTTCTAGGGCTAGCAAAATTGAGCTGAAAATGTAGTCCCTTTCATTAAGGATAAGGTAGACATTTGAGCAAGTAACTGTATAGAGTGAGGGATGTTCTGGGATGACAGAGTGGTGAAAGGTTATCATTTTATCACTTTGTTTGAAGAAGATCAGTGAAGAATTCAGAGAAAAAGAGAGGCTTGTGTCCTTGAAGGACTTGGACTTTGAAGAAAATGTGGAGAGGGCATGCCAGGTAGAGGAAATGACATACAAGAACTAGTGGAAGACACTATTGTTCTTCTTAGAACTGGAAGACGGACAGCATGGAGGCCATTTAGCATAGCTTGACTGGCAGGTATATAGGGATAGGATGGTGGAGAAGGGCAAGATGGTTTTATCTCCTCTGGTATGATCCCCAAGACCCCGGAGCTTGCATGAGATGGAAGTCTCTTTTTTATAATTTCCTCCCCTTCATTATGTTTCGTAGTGGTTATCACTTTTCCCAAGAGGCATGCCCAGCCAATGAACCATCTTAATCTCTCTCCCTGCTTGTCTGAACTTCTGGCTACCTTGGTGAGCTTTCATATTCAAAGAAAACATATCTGATCACTTTAGGACTGGTGACCTGACAGCTTAGGGGGACAAAGGTTATGAGGTGAAAGGACATCTGTGCCATTTACTTGATGTGGCATGTGCTAGCTAGGGAGAATGAAGTCCATCTGTGACCAAACACCTGTGTTCCTCTTTCACTGACTGTACTTCTGGCTACCTTGGTGAGCTTTCATATTCAAAGAAAACACATCTGATCACTTTAGGACCGGTGACCTGACAGCTTAGGGGGACAAAGGTTATGAGGTGAAAGGACATCTGTGCCATTTACTTGATGTGGCATGTGCTAGCTAGGGAGAATGAAGTCCATCTGTGACCAAACACCTGTGTTCCTCTTTCACTGACTGCGTCATCAGAGAGGAGCATTAAGCTGTTCTTCAAATGAGTCAGGCCTGTTGTTTTGTGGAGAAGGGGCTGGTGCAGCTTGAACTCCGTGGCAAGTCTGACTGTTGCCTGTGTTTGCTTGCAGCCGTGTAAATGAGTATGGAAGATTATGATTTCCTGTTTAAAATTGTTTTAATTGGCAACGCTGGAGTGGGGAAGACGTGCCTAGTTCGACGATTCACTCAGGTAAGGAATTTGGAACAAAGGATTGGGTTTATTTGTCTTGTTTGTCTTACAGTATCCATCTGCTGGATGGGTGGCTGGGCCCAGTGCCAGCCTCTTGGCTGCAGGTGCTCAGGCACTCTTTAAAAGCAACATCAAGTTTATAGCCTAAGGTTTTCTGAGCGAGCATGGTGCTGAGGGCTTCTCCTACCCCTTTTCTTGCTTCCTCTTATGAAAGGGGCAGGTGGTTTTGCTTTCAGTGTTCGGTCTCAAAAGTAGATTATTTGGCTAAAAAATAAATAAGTAGTTCATAATCATCCAAATGTATCCAAATGTGGAAATAAATCTGGCCATTAAATTGACCCTAAGCATTCATTTTAAAGATACTGTAATATAATAAACCTCAAATTTCCTACTTATTCTTGTTCTTATTAAAAAAAAAAAGTGCCTGGCGTGGTGATGCACACCTTTAGTCCCAGCACTTGGGAGGTAGAGGCAGGTGAACTCTGTGAGTTCAAGCCAGCCTGGTCTACATAGTGAGTTCCACAGGGCTACAGGGAGACCCTGTCTCAATAAGACCAAAAAACAAAACAACAACAAAAACCAAAGGAGCTCTGTCTAACCAAACTTGCTACTTGTCTGGTTCTCCTGAGTAGGAACACAGAGGGCAGTGAAGAACCTGAATAGAATTGAATGTCCATTGGACATTCAGTTAAAACTTTCCAGTTTGATTCCTCATAATATCTAAGTACAACTTCCCTCTTGGGTTGGCCTCTTGAGAATTCCTGGCCAAGATATGTCTTTTTATATATATGTATAGAAATTCATGAAAAATAACCCTGAAGTTGATTACTTTTGTTTCCCTCTGAAAAATACAAATGATGGCCTTTTCTGGACTGTTGTACATATAGCTTATATTTTTATGATAAGCGTCTTAGGAACATTGAGACAAGCCATGGAAAGAGCAGTGGCTTAAGATTTGAAACAGGTGCTGGTCCTGGCCCAACTGCACACCTGCTGGTGCCAGGTCTCCACACTGCATGTGAGGGGCCTGGAGAATTCCAAGGTCCCTTTCATCTCTGACAATCTGGGTCTGTGGAAAACTGGAGAGGCAGATTGGGCCCAGAGATGTTGGAAATGTCAGGGGTTTTTCCATGCTAAGTGACCACAGAAGAAAACCCATGTTTTTCACTGACTTTTGGTCTGATGAAATCAAAAGTGAGAAGTTAACCAGCATCTGGGCTTAGTCAACCATCACAGAGAGATACCAGAAACTCCAGCTGGTTTTATATTCACGTATCATTAGTAATTTTTTCTGCTTTTGTAAGAGGGAAAAGCCTACATACTTGCAGTGATATAGTGAGATTTTTTTCCATCCATTTATCAAAGTTTGCTTGGTGATGTCTGGTTACTGAAGGTCACTTATATATTATTCAGTCCAGTCCTTTCATTTTACAGATCCACAGGGATACAGGGATGTGTTCATGGTCTCAAGCCTGTAAGTGGCAAGTCCAGGATTAGAGCCCTGGTCTCCTGTTTCTTAGCCTGGTAATTTCTATCTCCTACAGGCTCTAACCTCTGGGACCACTCTCCTTAAATACACAAACCCAGGGGCTGGAGAGATGGCTCAGTGGTTAAGAACACTGACTGTTCTTGCAGAAGACTCGGGTTTGAATCCCAGCACCCACATGGCAGCTAACAACTATACATACTCCAGTTCCGGGGGATCTGACAGCCTCTTCTGACCTCTGCAGGCATTGCATGACACAGATGCACTTACCTACATGCAGGCAATACACACATGCACATATAATAAAAATAATAAATAAAATATTAAAAAACAAACACAAGCACATTTTAGTTCTTTAAAATTTTTTTTAATTGAATTTTTACAATTTTCATACATCATAGTTTGATGGTATTTAGGTCTCCTCCCTTATTCACATTTCTGCCCATGGCCCCCTGTCCAATTTAATATATGTATATCCTATAGAGTCTGATTTGTGTCCCCAAATGTCCTTCAGTGTTGTTCTATCCACTGGATCCCCCAAGAGTCCTATCCCTGTAAGACACTGTCTCCTCCCTCCCAGTGGCCATCAATTGCCAAAAGTTCCTAGGTTGAGTTGGGATTTCTTACCCACTTTTCCATGTCTAAGCTGAACTTTTGTCTGATTTGAGCTTGCATAGTGTTTGTGAATGCTGTTACCATTGCTGTGAATTCATGTAAATAACTGACCAGTCTGGAAAACTCTGTTTCCTTGTGGTCATCTACCACCTCTGGCTCCTACAATCTTCCTGTCTCTTCTTCCACAGTGATCCCTGAGCCTTGGGAGACAGAGGTTTGAAATAGGTGCCCTAATCAGGGATAAGCCCTCTGTGGCCTTTTGTTCTCTGCACGTTGGCCAATTATGGGTTTCTGTGTTAATCACCATGTGCTACATTAGGAAACTTCTCTGGTGAGAGTGAGTATATATCCTGATGTAACCACAGGAGCCAGGAAAATGGAAAGGAACCCTGGGAATAAAGGAGAAGAAAGTGCTTGAGAGAGAGAGAGAGAGAGAGAGAGAGAGAGAGAAGAAACTATCCTGACAAAAGCAGTTGATATCAGGTGTTATTAAGGGGGAAAAGGGGAATACTTTAACTGGGGAGGGAGTAGGGAGGATTATACAGGGAGAGGTGAGATAAATAATGCTTAGTTGATATGAAAAACCAGATGGAAATTTATGACTTCAAAGTCCTACTGAAAAATACCCATAAAATAAATATAAGAGTGCTTTTTGTATAGCTGAAAGCTATATAACAGCACAATGCCAGGCAGGAGAAACCTTCCTTTGAGTTGTTGGTCAAGGTAGTCCAAGAGACTCCAAGAATAACACAGGCTATTTCTACAGCCCTTGATCACCTCCAAGAGCTTGAAGGTAAAGCCCTATTGCTGAAGATAGGACATACTTCAGACATAGGATTTGGAACAATGGAGCTGGAACTGACCTGGAAGCCTCCTCCCTGAAGACCAGCTCTCATGGTATCAGAGATTAGCATGCAATTTGCCAAGGGAGAAAAACCAATCAGTGACCCTACACAGCTGTGAAGCTTAATAAACAACAATGACTGACCCAGCAAACTATCTCTATTGATGCAGTAGTGGCACTTTTATCTTTTCTGTCTACTTTTTGTTCTCTCTACTATGAAGTCCATACTAAAGTTTATATTTCATAGGCAGGAATGTGTATGTTTTTATTATTATTTAATAAGGAGTTAAAATGAATTGGATTCAGCTGTTTTTGAAGCATGAAGGTTTAGGGAACAAAATGGGGGTAGCATTGGGAAGGATTTGTTTTATTTTTATTTTTTTGGCATTTGTTAGGCTGCAAAACAGCTGGAGCTATAAACTTGAAGCTTGGCGGCCTTGTGTCTGAGCCAAGCCAAAACAGAAGAAAATTGATTCAATATTTGTAAGTAAAGTTATGAATGTTTATATTTACTTCTTTTGCAGACATTCAATGAAGCTTTTTCTTTTGGTTTGAAGCTCAGCTTTCTGAGTTCAAACTTTAATTAGGAACTCTCTTGTTAGGGAATGGACTTAGTTAAAGATGCCCCCGTCTCAGCTGCAAGGGCTAATAAAGTCCATTTTGCTTTATTGCTGAAATTCTGAAACATGAGTGAGGAGGGAAGAGAGACTAGGTAAAGACTCTTTTATTGGTACAATTCCTTGTGCTCCCATCCCTTCCCTCAGCTCACAGGACCTATGAGTAAGTAAGCTGCACTATACCTGTGATACTCTAAGTCTTGAAGCTTCTTTGTAATACTTAATATCAACTTCCTGAGTTTGAGGCTGAGAGACGGGGAGTGGTTTGTCTGGTTGCCTGCTGCCTCCTGTTATGATGCTTCTGCATTGTCTTACTGATGCCATTTTTCTTAGATGTTCTCCCAGAGTCATTGGCTCTGACTGCTTGTAATCATGTGCATGTGATACATGGTACTGCAGAAGCTGGTGGTCTGCAGAAGCTGGTGGTCATCAGGGCCCCGGAAAATTCACATTCTCATATTGAGTTCCTGTTCTATTTTTGACCTAGAGTCTGACCTCAAACTGGTGATTCTCCTGTCCCAGCCTCTGGAGTGCTGGGATTATAGTACTTTCTTGTTTATTTTAACCAGGTTTCCCTTTCCCTTTCCCATCCTAATAGTCCTGATGGCATTCTGGTGGTGGCTCTTTGTTCCTTGGTCTTATTCTTGTGCTTGGGTTTTCTGTCTTTGAAGCCAGCACTCCCCACTGTCCTTTCTCTATTGTCTCTCTTTACCTTCTTTGCCTCTTGTTTTGTTTCTTTTCTGTGTGTGTTTTTGTTGGCATTTCTCCTTTCACTTTTCTCTCCTCTCTCTCCCCCTCAAAACATATGACATTAAACAGGGCTCTCGTGACACTAACCAGAGTTCTCTTCTCTACCAGTTAACTCAGTCACAGGATGGGGATGGGCAGGGAGGCAGTTCATTTAATTAAGCGATGTGCTTAAATATTACCTGCCATTATTTTTTCTATAGGGTCTTTTCCCCCCAGGCCAAGGAGCCACAATTGGAGTTGATTTTATGATTAAGACAGTGGAGATTAATGGCGAAAAAGTAAAGGTAAGAAGCTAAATGTCTAATAAAGCTTGTGTTCTCTAAGAGTTTAGGGGAGGCAGTATAATTGTGCTTTAGTATTTATTAAATCTTCTCATTAAAATCCACATTGAAGCCAGGTGTGGTGGTGCACGCCTTTAATCCCAGCACTCGGGAGGTAGAGGCAGGCGGATCTCTGTGAGTTCGAGGCCAGCCTGGTCTACATAGTGAGTTCCAGGACAGCTGGGGCTACAAGGAGACCCTGTCTTAAAAAAGACAAAAGAAAAATAAAATAAAATCCACATTGAAGACAACATACTTGAATTGGGTTGGAGCTCAACTTGCAGAGTGCTTGCCTAGCATGCAGGAAACCCTGGATTAAAAAACCAGCAGCATAAAAAACTGGGTATGGTAGTATATACCTGTAATCCCTGGCAGGAGGCAAGAAGGTCATAGATTCAAGATCATCTTTAACATAGCAAGTTGGAGGCTAGCCTGGGTTACATGAGACCCTGTCTCAAAAACAAAAAAATATACAGATTGATTTCTAGTTCCTTTATGACAGAAAGGGAGTTTTGGATGATATGTTTATAGATGTGAAGACTGAGAAAAAAGAAAGCTGTCTCCTGTCATGTCAGAGGTGATGTTAAAACAAGGTAGGAATTTTGTTTTGGATTTCCCAAGTTGAACCAATGTCAATATTATCCCCTCCATATGAGAAAGCCTCCTGACTCCCACATTTCACTGTGGGTAATTTAGTCATAGAAATTATTATCCTGTCTCCCACCATACCCTAATGTTGAACTTTAGAGGTTCAGAAAGGACCCCTGACCTCTATTCTGTCCTCTACTCGGTGGCTTCTAGGTGACTTAGTACCTAGAAGTATGGTATGTCCAGTAACACAAGGGGAGTAACATGTCAGTGAGTGTATACTGTAAGCCAGTGCCTCTGCTATGTGCTCTTACATGTGTTTCCACAGTCACCTTAATCCTTAGTTTGATCCCTGGAAGTAGATGGTATTGTCCTTGTTTTACAGGTTTCAGAGAAGTTATTTACTTAATTAACTTACTGAACCTTGGCTGTAGTCAGGGTAGAGACAAGCAGGATTTGCACCTCAGTTGCTAACCCTTCTAACTCTGAGATCTCCCGTGCTGTGGTGTAAGAGGGGAATGAAGTACAATAGGTCCATCACCTTGTAGTAAGGAAAGGTCCAGTGAGGGGCTGGAGAGATGACTCAGTGGTTAAGAGCACTTGCTGCTCTTCCAGAGGACCTGAGTTCAGTTCCCAGCACCCATGTCAGGCAGCTCACAACTACTTGTAGCTCCAGCTCAAGTGGACCTGACACCTTCTGGCCTCCACAGACAACTGCACACACATGAATACACACCCCCCCACATAATTAAAAATGAAATAAATCTTTTATAAAATGCGAAGTGAAGCTGAATTACATGGAAGGAGATAAAGAAAATGATGCATAGCACTGTGTTTCATCTGCTGTTCAGTTATTAAAACTTCTCAGTCAGATCTGAAATAACCCAGCTATCAGCAGCATGACGGAAACCGGCACCCTGCATTTGGTTCATGCTCTTCGCATCCTTCTCCCTGTCGTTCCTGCACCTTCTCATGAGTGCTGTGGGAAGGGCAGAAGAGTGCCTGGCATTCTTGCAGCAATTCACAGATACTCACCATCACAAACAAGTGCTGGCTTGAGGCTCCTGATGGGACAGGAACCTTGTATCTCCTTCTGTGCTACTCCTCAAGATGGTTCCTTACACAGAGACATGGAAACATTACAATAGTGAAAGGAGAGCTGGGGTCCAGGGAGTTAAAGCAGGATGTAAAATCTACACAAATGCCAACTAGAAGGTCTGAAAAGAGTGTTTGAGACAAGGGGAAGGAGAGAAAATGTGGACATAGGAAGGGCACAGGGGCAGGTTAGGAAACACCGGCAGGAAGAGCCTGTTGTAGGTTTTTTTTTTTTTTTTTTATTCTGGGGGAGGTACTTGCCAACCCAAGGAACTAAGTAAGGACAGCTATGGTTTCATGTGTAGAGATCTGAGTCCCCACCTGCATGTGTACATCTGAGTTCATTTGTTTGACCTGAAATATTAGCACCTATCATGTACCAGGCACAGGTCAAGAGCAAAGTGAATGAGAAATAGTCCCATGGTTAAAGAACAGGCTCTTTTTCTTTCCTGAATCTCTATGCTTTGGTGTTCCATTGATTTTACTTTTTTGAAAACCATGCCTTCATGTTTTTTAAACATTATTTTTTTTCTTGTCTTTTTGAGACAGGGTGTCCCTGTAGCCCCAGCTGGCCTAGAACTCACTATGTAGACCAGGCTGGCCTTGAACTCACAGAGATCCACCTACCTCTGCTTCCAAAGTGCTGGAATTAAAGGTATGTGCCACCACACCTGGCTTTAAACACTTTCTATGTATTTGTGTGTGTGTGTGCGTGTGTGTGTGTGTGTGTGTGTGTGTGAGAGAGAGAGAGAGAGAGAGAGACAGAGACAGAGAGAAAGAGAGAGAGAGAGATTCATCAGCTCACTCCATACAAGTATCATTCTTTCTAGAATGGCTTCCAACTAAAGGCAGAAAGTTCAAATTATTAGAAGAATCTTGTAGCTACTGAAGCTAAGTAACTAATTAGTGGAGGCTAAATTAAGGAGGAGGCCTATCTCTTAAAGGGATCTGAGGCATGAAGGTGACTTTGGGCATAAAATACAATTAAAACATCATCTATTTTAAAATGGTTAAGACGACAAATTTTCTTATGTATTTTAGTACAATAAAAATGGAAAGAAAATATAGATTTTCCCATTTCTTCCTAGTATGTAATAAAGTAATGAGTAATAAGCAAAACCTTAAGATCAGTCTAAATCAAAACCTTAGATTGATTATAATAGAAGATTATCTTTGAACAGACCTGTTACATAGATAGGAGGCTCATGAAAGTAGATACAAATATTCATTCCTTTGATGGTCTATCTGTCCATCTCATGTTGCAGTAGGTGCTTTGTGCCAAGCACCAGGGTAGGTAAAGCATCTTTGCCCCCTTGGAATTTACTGCTTCCTAGATTTGATAGCATTTTACCCATGAAATCTTCCACAGCTCACTAATCTTCTAAGAATAACTAACCAATTCTTCCTTCGTGATTGCACAGGCCCGTGTTGGTTTAGTTATCTATGATTCAACTGTGCCCACTACAGACTGTGTTGGGGAGGCACCAAAGGTACAAGGTCAAAGAGACAGCCAAATGAGGCAGTAGGGGTGAAGTAGTGTGCGAATCAGAGCAGGTGAGCAGCTGGTAGTGTCCTGTTGGACGTGAGCGAGATCGGGAAGTCCATGGATGCAGTACTGAGCACACTGTCAGAAGAGGACTAACAGTTGGAGGCACTCCTCCTCTGGTGCCTTTGACCACATCTCATGCTGCAGTATAGCTAACCAGCTATGAATTCAGGCTCTTTTAGATTAGGGATATCTTATTTACCTTATATTTCCCAGTGCCTAACCTGGTGCTCTGCATATACTAGTGTCCTACAAATGTTGACAAGAGACAAATGGGTTGCAGAGAAAGGTGAGGAAACTAAACCAAATGATAAGACAGAATGTGAATATCCTTAACCAATGGGCAGGCTAGACACTGGCAGTCCTGTATGAAAAAGTGGCATGTGTCTTGGCAAGGCCTAACAATCACTATTCTAGAAAACATTTTAATGCTTAAAGCAGTCCCCAAGACACAGTATTTCCTAATGACTAATGTCATCTAAATCCAGTCATAAGTGCTTTAGAGGTTCGGTGAGGCTTTTAAAACAGCAGTCTACTATTCTTCAGCACATCCTGGCAGCAGGGAGCCATAGCCCCACTTTGAGGCCGAGAAGAGAAGTAGCTCTTGTTCCAGCAAAAGCTGTCATCTGTATGTTTGCATTTAGCACACACAGACGTTGGTTCATATCATCAAAGAGCTGCTGCAACTTCAGATCAAATTAATGTGTGCAAGCTGGTCATGGCAGGAGCTACCAGTCTCTGGCTAATTCTATTAGCAGAGGGTGGCACCAAGTGACCACTGGTGCATATGCACATGTAAATAAATTTGCCATGGCAAAAGCAACAAGGTGGTCCGGGCTGAGTACTGGACTGGGAATAGAAGACCTGGAGTCTTATTCCTAGCATTGTCAGTAACTGGCTGGTAGGTTAAATTTGGCTACATCAGTTGGTAGCTGTTAAGATCGAATGAGACCATCAGTAAAAAATTGAGCATCTGTTTTTTGTTCTGGGCACTGAGTTAAACAAGGTCCTGGCTCCCCTCATAAAGCTTTAAATCAAGTAGATGATGCAAATGAGCCAGGTGCCACAGGAAAGAATGATGTGAAGTGTTGCAAGGGAGACTGTGGTGGGGAAAGTTCTACAAGGCCTTCCCTGAGGAAGTGGTATCTAAAGAGGTGTCTAAAGAGGTTAATTTGCCCGAGACCTATGGGATTTATACAGTTAGGAGAGAAGCTGTGGGTGATGTTCTTAGCTCTCGAGAGCTTCTGCTCTGTACTTAGTGGTTTCTGTGGAGGATGGGGCCCTCATTTGTTGTGTGACCTGGGCAGAGAAGTTGAGGGAGGAGATACAGGAAATATTTTCCTTCTTTCTTATTAAACCATCAATTTGCTAGGTCTTACAAATAGTAGTTGACGTTATAAAATGTGAACTTCCAGCATGTTCCATATTACCAACTCCGTTTTTATATAAAGAAATAACTGAGATCCAAAGAGATTGAGTGTGTGATCTAAGGTCAAGAGCTTAAAGGGTATGGTGGAGGGAAATGCTTATTTTGTCTGTCATGACACCATTCCTGTTTCCATTAGCAATGGTAAAGCCTTAATAAGTTCATTAGAATTTTGAGCTGGAAAAGTTAGGGAGGTTGGATTTTACCCTCTCTTGGTTGCTGGCTGAAATACCAATGACATAGAACAACAGCTTGCTCTCCATTGCAATGTGTGTGTATCCAGCCTATGGTTAGATGCATGGAGCATGTGTCCATAGTGAGTGCCAAATTGTCTTGAGACACTAAGTAAGTGAATCAGTCTCTTCCTGCTTTAGTTTCCTTATGTAGGAAGTATGTACCATAATAGTACCTAACTTACGGGATTATTTTGAGAATTCATTACTGCATGTAAAATGAATAGAATAGCATGTGTGGAACATGATGAGTATCAATCAATTTTTTTAATGAATAAAGAACTTTTAAACAACAATGAAAACCAAGAAATAAAGCAATCTCTTATTCCCTAACCAGAAATACTTAACAGCAAAAAGAAATAAGTGCTTTTTAGAGCAGAAAATAGGTATGAAATTATTGGGTGATAATGTTCCCATTTCTGAGCTAAAGCAAGGCAATGCTCTTTTATTTTTTGCCTCTTCAAGCTGATTCCCTTATGCCTTTACAGTTACAGATCTGGGACACTGCGGGTCAAGAGAGATTTCGGTCCATCACCCAAAGTTATTACCGAAGCGCCAATGCCTTGATCCTTACCTATGACATCACCTGTGAGGAATCCTTTCGCTGCCTTCCTGAGTGGTTGCGGGAGATAGAACAGTATGCCAGCAACAAGGTCATCACTGTATTAGTGGGTAAGTAAGAGCTAATGAGGAAAGACATTGATTTGAACGCAGAAAATTTATGATCACATAATGCTTACACCTCGGTACCTTCCCAAAATACAGTATATAGCTATGAGTCATGTAGTCAGCATTAAGTTACATAATTGAAGAGAAAATGTTTTATCCATAGTACTAATTTAGAAAAATAAAGTAGAAAATATTGCTGATGGAATTTTTTTTCTTTTCTATTAATGTAGTCTGGAGGGGAAAGTAGGAGGACTGTGAAAGTTAGACGGGCTGCCGTACATTAAATAGGATGACTGTGAAAGTTAGATGGGCTGCCGGACATTAAACAGGATGACTGTGAAAGTTAGACGGGTTGCCGGACATTAAATAAGATGACTGTGAAAGTTAGATGGGCTGCCGTACATTAAAAATACGTGGTTACTGGCTGGGTGAAGTGGGCCATACCTTTGATCCCAGCTCTCAGGAGGCAGAGGCAGGGAAGTCTCTGTGAGATTGAGACCAGCCTGGTCTACATAAGCGAATTCCAGGCCACCTGGGGACAGAAGGAGATCTCCCCCCATATATACATATATATGTACACACACACACACACAGAGAGAGACACATGATGGTAGACACCGCCAATGTAAAAGTAAATCTTTTAAGTTGATAAGGAATTCATATTGAAGCAGTTGTTTTGTTTTTTAATAGACTTTGGCTAATTTTTCTCTTCTTTTATGTTGACAAGACATTCTATGTTTCAGAAAGAATTTACTGATGGAAAGGCCACAGTTTGTTTCATCTTGTAGGAGGAGTCTCTGTTTAGTGTAGGGGAAAACCAGAAAAGAACCTTTATTTTCTCTGTGACGAATGCAGTCATTAAAAATGGAATTACAGGGGCCAGGGAGATGGCTCAGTTGGTAAGGAGCTTGCTGCACAAGCATAAGGACCTGAATTTGATCCCTAGTACCCACGTTAAAAAGCTGGTATGGTGACACATTCTTGTAATCCCAGTGCTGGAGAGGCAGAAACATGCCAACTCTGGGCTTGCTGGTCAGCCAGCCAATCTAATCAGGAAGCCCCAGGTAATCCCAGGTTCCAGTGAGAGCCTCTATCTCAAAATAACAAAAACAAACAAACAAAAAAAACAAGAAAAACAAACACCTGCTGAAGAAATGGCTCAGTGGTTAAGAGCACTGGCTCTTCTTGTAGGGGAGCCGGGTTTGGCTCCCAGCACCCACATGGCGGCTAACAACTGTCTGTAACTCCAGTTCCAGGGGATCTGACACTCTCTTCTGTCCTCCACCAGCACTGCATGACATGGTTGCACTTACACACATGCAGGCAATACACTCATACACATAAATTTTTTTAAAAAGTGATCTTAAAGGAAGATTTGAGGGGAGATAGAGGAATTGGCTTCGTAAAGAAACTTTTTCAAAATTTTATATGTATGAGTGTATTGCCTGAATGTAGTTAAGTGCACCCATGTCATGCAATGCCCGTGGAGGTCAGAGGAGGCTGTCAGATCCCCTGGTACTGGAGTTACGGACAGTTGTTAGCTGCCATATGGGTGCTGGGATTCAAACCTGCTTTTTCTGCAAGAACAACCAGTATTCTTAACTGCTGAGCCATCTCATAAGCCCCCTTTGGTTCTATTTTGTGACCCACTGAGTTTTTAATATGGAAAAATTCAGATATAAGCAAAACAGGAACAGCAGTACAGATAATCCCTGTGCATCTCACTTCAAGAATTCAACTCATGACCAATCTTAGTTTATCCATTCTCCATGTACTCTCTTCACTCTCCGCAGTTACTTTAAAGCAAGTTCCAAATTTTCAAATATCTTCCAGTAATATCAAGATATAGCTCTAAAAAGTTTTTAAAAGGTGAGAACCTAACCACAATGCCATTTTCATATGCGAGAAACAGTCACAATTCCTTCATGCCCTCAAAAATTCAACCTTCAAATTTCTGTGATTTAATCATAAGTTTTTAAACTTTGTTCAAAGCATGGTTAAAATAAGGATCACAAATATTGTACTTATGTCTTGTAATTCTCATTTTATTCATATATAGTTTCCCTTCTTGGTTGTTGTTTTTTGTGTTTTGAGTCAGGACTTATTGTCCTGACTTTGACCTCAGCAATACTCCTGCCTCAGCCTCCAAGTGCTGGGATTAAAGATGTGTTTAATTATGCCTGGCCATTTTGTGGTGGTTTTGTTTTTTTGAGACAGTGTCTCACTATGTAGCCCTGGCTGGCCTGGAACTCAGCTATGTAGACCAGTCTGGCCTGGAATTCACAGAGATCCACCTGCCTCTGCCTCTTGAGTGCTGGGATTAAAGGTGTGCATGCACCACTATTCCTGGCCTCCTGGCCAATTAAAAAATTGTTTTTAGAATTTATTATTAAAGCATTTTTTTATCCTGTAGAGTTTATAAGTAAAAAATTGATTTTCTCTTATAGTGTCATTTGACATGCCTCCCCATCACCCATATTTCTCACAGGTTTATAGGTAAATTTCAGGCCTGATAAGATTCAGGACTTTTTGTTTTGTTTTATTTTAGCAGAAATATTCTATATCTGGTATTTCAAGTACAGTTTTTACAGGATAAGCAAGAATGCTTTCTTTTTTATTCAGTAATTTCCAATGCAGTGAATTGATTTCCTACAGTCTTCCAAAAGTAACCACTGAAATTATATATGTCTTTTTGAAACAGGGTCTCTCTGTAGTCCCAGCTGGCCTGGAACTCCCTATGTAGATGAGGCTGGCTTTGAACTCAGAGAGATCTGCCTGCCTCTTCCTCCCAAGTGCTGGGACTACAGGTGTGTGCCATGCTCAGCCCACACACACACACACACACACACACGCACGCACGCACGCACGCATGCACCAACACACACACACACACACCTTTTTGAGAACAGGGTCTCCCTGTAGCTCCAGCTGGCCTGGAACTGGCTTTGTAGACTAGGCTGGCCTTGAACTCACAGAGATCTGTCTGCCTCTGCCTCCCAAGTGCTGGGATTAAAGGCATGTGCCACCATGCCCAGTTATCTGTATTTTTAAAAAATTTCATTTATTTTCATTTTATATAGATGAATGTTTTGCCCACGTGTAAGTGCAGCATGTGTATACAGTGCCTGTGAGGGCCAGAAGAGGGTGTCGGAGCCCCTGGAACTGGAGTTATGAATGGTTGCTAGCCATCATGTGGGTGCTGGGAACAGAACTCAGGTTCTCAGTGCTCTTAACCACTGAGCCATGTCTCCAGCCCTTATATCTACCTGTGTTTCATTGTTCTCATATAAAAAATTCCAGTTCTAGCTGGTGGCTCACACCTTTAATCCCAGCACTCAGGAGGCAGAGGCAGGTGGATCTCTGTGAGTTCAATGTCAGCCTGGTCTACACAGTGAGTTCCAGGTCAGCTGGGGCTACAAAAAAAAAAAAAAAAAAAAAATTCCAGTTCTACATGAACTGCATAATTAATGACTTAATTTATCCCTTAATACACATATAGCTGCTTCTTAATCACAGTACCAGCCTTGCCATCAACAAGATGATTCTTGAAAGAGTTCAAGACTTTGTCCTTAGTGGATCCTTGTACCCAAGGATGCAGGGTTAAATTATGTTGTCTTAAATTCACTTAAAATAGTTGTATGTATTATGCTACTACCTGATATAGGTGTTCATTAATATTCAAGGATTTCTTTTTAAACTTAATTTTGTTCTAATTATATAATTTCAGATTATTATTTAGTTATGTAAAATGTATGTTTTTGAAGTCAAATCTATAATGGAGAATATACTTAAGAGATGGTGCCACCTGGTGGGCATTTGTGTTATTTCCAGTCTTTGACATAAATGACACTGGTATTTAAACTAAACATTCTTGTAATCACAGTCACATTTGCTTTGCTTGACTCATCTGTCTGTCTAATCTGCCCATCAACTTCAGATCTGGAATTGAATCGTGATGCTTCCCGGTCTGTGCAAAGTCAAGTAATGGTTCTTTGATTTACCATTGTTACAGGCAATAAGATCGACCTGGCTGAAAGGAGAGAGGTCTCCCAGCAGAGAGCTGAAGAATTCTCAGAAGCTCAGGACATGTACTACCTGGAGACCTCAGCCAAGGAATCTGACAATGTGGAGAAACTCTTCCTTGACTTAGCCTGCCGACTCATCAGTGAAGCCAGACAGAACACACTGGTGAACAATGTATCTTCACCTTTACCCGGAGAGGGGAAAAGCATCAGCTATTTGACTTGTTGTAATTTCAACTAAAGGCTGAGGCAAGGAGAAACAAAGGGAATCAGTAGCTGCCCCGGTGAGCCATGAGTCGCTAGGGAGATCTGGCAATGACTCTGGCTCCTGCTCTGGCTCCTGCTCTCGGACCTTCTGATTCCTGTGGGCTCCCGAGCTTACAAAGCATGCAGGCCAAGGGCCTCAATGACAGGCCGGCATTAGCAGAACACATAATGGTTTCACCCTTTTGCAGTCTGGAGATGGAATACGGAGAAAATTGCACTAAGCACTCCATGATCTGCAGAGCATGCTGCTTTTGTTTTTAACAAAGCAAGTAAAAGTGCATTCCTGAACACAGTCCAGGGGGACATGTACTGTAGGAAGCCCTCCTGCCTGTCAGCGGGTGCATGTGGGGGCTGTTCTTTAGTGCTTCAGTGGTAATCTGGTGCCCGGTTTTCTTGTCTATCAGGTAAACCAAAACTGGAATGGCCTAGTATTGTCTCTGTGGTACTTCCTGATGACCCCATGGAGATTTTGAAAAGTGTTATTTCTTTTGTCCATAGGCACTTTCAAAACCTTTGGGATATAAAAATGAAAACTCACTTATGACCAACAGTAACAGCTATTGTTTTAATAATATATACAAGCTCCATGACTCCTTTTGGTGCTATGATTCTGCTATTTCACAGACCAAACGTTTTAGTACATCGATACACTTAAATGTATTACCTAGAAATAAAAAAGAAAATGGGGGATGTCCATGAATGAGCACTCTTTTTCGGCTTCATTACCACCATTTCTAGGATGGGTTGTTCGGAAATGAGAATCCTTTTTCTTTCATGTTGTCCTTGAAATCTCTTAACTTTTCCTCTATTCTTTTACCTTTCCTGCCCTCTACATAAATGAAAGTTGGAAAAATGGGGGAAATACAAGTGGATGATGACATTTTCTTATAAAAGATTAGTTCTAAGACATTTTGAGTAGCATGAGGAAGAGGACCCAATACGACCAAATACTGTGGCGTGAACTGGCTTGCAGAGCAGGGTTCTGGACAGAGCACAGTCCACCATAACAGGTCATACCCTTTCCTTTCTGCAGCTAGCCTTGGATCAACCAAGGCTTGAGATTTTGTAGATATTTTTAGTATAAGTGAGAATAGCAACAGATGAAAAGTCTCACAAACCATCGTTCTATCTTCAAAAGCCTTAGGAAAGTCCTGCTTGGGGGAGCAGGTTGAGCAGTTGTTTACCATCCATTTCTGTGATTGCTCTCAGACTCATGACCATACGTGCATTTCTGTCATGTGATTCCCCCAGCCTCAGTCTTCTCTCATCACTCTCCTTTCCCCTCTCCCTCTTTCCCCTTTCCCTCCTGTCCTGGTATGTATGTGTTGTTGCAAATCTCCAATTCAAATGAAGGTATGTATGCTTTTACTTAGCCAATTTTAAAACAGGACTCAAATTGGAAGATCTGCTGCTGAATAAGTTCCCAGTTCTTCAGTGTCATACTTTGATACCTTCTGATTTGTTCACCCTTATAAATGCAAATTCGTACAATAATTAAACCTGTATGCTGTTGATGCTGTCAGGTGTTCTGTTGCTTGCCGCATAGCATAACTGAGGATGAGCCACCGAATGAGGAAATGACAAGTAATTCCATGTTGTTGATGGTGACAATCTTGTACCTGCCATGTCGTTGTTGGGAAGCTGTTTAATTGTAAAGCAATGAGTCATGTACAGTAGGATACTGATAACGCATTTCTAGTGTTTCTTTAGCAGGTTCCAAAATGACCAATATTGTTAATAGTCATTGGTATTATGACCAATATTGTTAATAGTAATTGGTATTATAAGTGATTGGCCTTACTGTGTTTCTCTTGATTCTATGGGAAAGAGAACAGTTCCCATAAGTTTTGTCTTTCCTTTAAAATATGTATCTATAGGAAAAAAAAATCACTTTAATGAAAACCAAAATCATTTGCAATTATTACCTTTGCTTCTCTATCTTCTTCATTAAACCATCAACTAAAAGCATCAGAAAATAAATTAATCAAGACTACAGAAAAATTTATCCTTTTCTATTGTGAGGTAATGTCCCTAAATTTAGATTACTTTTCTTTATGGCAAAATTCTTATCTCCTCAGCATATGATGACTCAACTTTGTCTCACAGCAGTGTGTTAAAAATAACATTGCTTTGTCAACTTAAAGGGCTTTGTTAGATTGGACTAATTTAGCTCCAAAATAACAGCTTCTAGGGCCACATCTATGTTATGGAATTCTTATTCTCTAGGGCTGATAGCCCCTCCACCTGCCTTTGACTAGACTCAGAAGGAGCTTAGAGAGCTCTGTTCCAGGTCCCTTTCTCCCTGGGTCTCTGAGCCTTTCTGTAGCTCACGGTCACCAATCCTTGGCCCATTGACATGGGCACGTAAGGAGCTGGGGCCTTATTTCTTTTTTCCATAGTTCTATGAATTCCAGATTAGGCCTTTTGAATATTTGTCCAGTGATGTACCTCAAATTTGAGAACAATCCCTGACAATATTGTAGGTGCAATAAATACCAGTTGAATAAATGATTCAGTGCCAAGGATTTTTTTATTTTTTTAAAAATATAAATTCCTTGAAGCCAAAACTGTGAAAGTCCATCTCTAATAAAGTCATCTTAATCTGTGGCAGGACCTAAACATTATTTTGTCTAATAACTTAGTGTCAGGGCAGTAGTTCTATCAGACAAGTCTTTTTTTTAGATAAATTCTTACTTAATGGTGAATGAAACAGCATTTGGTTTATTGTCATTTAGTTTGGCTCATCCTGACAAGTAAGACCATCTCTTTCTTCTTCCATTTATGATAGGATCTTTTTTCTTATTTTAATAAAATTATTAAGTACACAACAATTTTTTTTTTGTAGTTTCCAGTGAAAACACTTTCATCTTATGGAGTCAAGCTGGGGAAAGATTGCTGAAATCTTATTATTTGCTGATATTGATTATATGACTTTGGATAGATTGTGTCTCAAAGAACTTTGTGACTTCTTTTTTTTGATGAAAGGCTGTTATTCCTTTGAGTTTTTTATTAGATTTATTCAGTTACATTAATATTTAATTTTTGATTATAAAGAGCCAGTTATCTTTTGTGTAGACTTAGGTTATGTCATTGGCTTTCTTTTGCTTTCCTTTCCCCTGTATTTTGGTTATTTTTATGTCATTATCTCCTTAAGTGGCAAGACAATAACTGAAAATGAAACTCGGATGGATTAGCTTGACAATATATCAAAGTTCTGATTTCAAAATTATTGAGAAACCACTACCGAACAAGATGTTTGGATTAGTATTATGAAAAGCAGTTAGACTTGATGGAAGGAAGCAGCATACTGAACGGGCTGTAGTCCTTATTTTTTTCTGTTCATGTGCGTGTACCTTCAAAGGACCCTGGTGACTCCTGGTGTTCGATTAATGAGTTGCCTGTCTACCTTTTGAGCTATCTCACAAGCATCACTTTCAGTTAAAGTCTCATTCTGAAAAAGTATCAGTTGCAAATGATTTTGAGTAGGTTGCTTGATTAAACTAAAATATCTTTAAAAAGAACAGAAGCTACCAAATGAGGTCATCTTATTACAAGAAAATTTCCCTCCTCCTTTCCATCTCTCATATGAGTGGCCTGCAGAATGTTGTGCATCTCGTGTAGGGATCACTTCCTCCTCAGCCTCTGGAAGAAGTCCTAGCTTGCCATTTTGTTTTTAAGAATTTTTGTTTTAACTATAGCTGTTTACTTTCTTTCCTCAACTGTGGCACTGACAGGTATATTTTGTATCTTTCTCTCAAAATGTATTATACATAAGCAATTATGGTTAAATACTTATTTGGGGCTAAATGGAGGATATATTTTCTTTGAGGGTTTTGTTCCTGTGACATGAGTTTATTTGTGGAGAGGAAAGCTGCCTTCCCTTACACTGTACAAACTGGTAATATCTTTATGCTGATTTAAGATATTATTCCTTCAGATCACTCAATATAGAATAAGGAAGATGGTACTTCATTTCCTTCCTAAATTCCATGGTGTTAATGTTATAATTACTTCTGGGAGTCATTGCTTTTCCCCTTTTTATGAAAGACAAGATCTCACAGCCTGTGGCCAAAGCTGACCTAGAAATCATAACATAGCACAGCTGGCCTCAAACTCATGGCAGTTCACTTGCCTCAGTCTCACCAGTACTGGAATTAGACACCTGAGCCATCATGTCTGGTTTGATGAGCCCATCTTTGAAATGAAAAACAAATTGAGGCATAAGTATTTGGTAAAGGATTTTGACATTTAAGACAGGTGAGGAATATGTGAAGGGATTTTTGTGGGACTTAGTATGGAAGAGAGGAATGAATACAATGAAGAGATTTCAGCACAATGCTCTGCAATTCAAAGAAGCAGAATGAAGCCCACAATTGAGGTCATAGAGCCACAGATTGGGCTCTGTGTCTGGGAGAATTTCTCAAAAAGTTGGTACCCCATAGAAGCGATTGCCTGTTTGTCAAGCAGAGGGTAGATAATGCTGCCAAGACAATGTGGGGATGAGGCAACTATTGATCAAGGGTTGGCCCAGATGATCTGTTAAGTCAAATTTCTAAATTGCAAAACCTTTTCCTTTTTTTTTTTTTGAGACAGGGTCTCACTGTGTAGCACTGGGTGACCTAGAACTTGCTATGTAGAGCAGGCTAGCCTTTAACTCAGAGATCCACCTGCTTCTGCTTTCTCAGTGCTGGGATTAAAGGCATGCAGCACCACGCCCAGCTTACCTTTTCCTATGATCAATTAGGATCTGTTGACCAACAGCTAATGACATTAAAGAACAAACAAGGTGTTATTGTTGTCATGAATGCATTCCATCCTCCAGGGAAAAGTTGCTATCTGTCCTTGAGCCAGGAGACTGGCCAGCCATCATGCCCTAAATTGGAAATGCCTTGTCATACCATATATCAGTGTCCTGTTGAAATCAAACTGGTTCTTGAGCTAAAAAAATTGAAAAGGTATCATTTAGGTAGGAGTTATATGAAATTGTGGAAACTAGTTTCTGTTCAGGATTTCAGGTGACAGTTTAGCATGGCAGATCTTCCAGTAAAGAGTCCCCAATAGACCAACATTTCATGAGAGGAGGGCTGGAAGGTCACTGGTGGTCCTCAAGGTCTATTTTAGGAAAGACTCAAATGACATCTGGTGGATTTCTTTGATTCTCTTGAGTGAGTTTAAGAGTGAAGGCCACTCTGATTCATGTACAAAGTAACAAAATATAGCTCTTTAACTTGAAAATGAAAAAACTATAAGTGAATCTTTGCTAATTAAAATGTATGAACCAAATGATTCCACCTGCAAAAATAACCTGGCACTCTTGCGAGTCTGATAGGTGGCTGATGTTTGGTCTTTAAAGATGGAGATCATTGGTTTTGAAGAGAAAGACTTGAATTCGAGGGAGACTTTTTAACTTCTTTGAATAAGAAGTTGGAACACAAAGGCCAGTTCTTCTTTGACCTCTTGAGATGTCTGAGTCAAACTTTTTACTTTCCCATTGATTTAAAGCAGAACTGCAGATGCTGAGCCTTATTCTGATGGAATTCTCAGTGGATGGTGATTGACACTTCAGAGAATGATACAGAAGACATATAAAAGGGGACACTAGGTTAGCTGTGTGGATCCTTACAACTCACAAGTTAGCTGGGACTTTAGAAAAGTTTGAAGATGAGTTTTCTCATCTATGAGATAGAATTGTTAGCAATATTCTGAAAATTAGATGAGATAAATTGAAATGTACCTTGCTCAGCAAATAGCAAGTACTCAAATATTATGTTTTCCCTTCCCTAATTAAGACTTTGGAAACAGGAGCAGTGGTGTGTGCCTTTAATCCCAGCTACTTGGGAAGCTGAGGTGGGAGCTAGAGCAACATAGGGAGACCCCATTTCAAAATAAAGAATTTGAAATATTTTTGGTAGATTGCTAGAGAATAACATTTCTGAAAGGGATCCTTAAAAGGAATTCACTTATTTGATTTGCGTTTAGATATTTCAGTCACCATCTGTTCTTTCATACTTCTGGAAAGACATTCTCCATCTCAATAGATAATTCCAGGGCTGTATTATCAGGAAACATTTATCTTAAAACTGAAATACCTCACAGTGCAATGAAAACCTCTTCTTGATTTCATTCTCCATGGGAAGAAAATGGGTTGATATCTTTAAGGAGCCACAAATGCCATTTATTAATGCTTTCCTGTCTATTTTTTGAAAGATAAATCATAAAAAGTATATTAAGGTCATAATCATTATTCCCTTGGTGAACATCAGGATAGGTGTAACAAGCTTAGTTTCTTACTGGCATCAGATTTAGATCATGATACTGTTGATTCGCTCCATCTATGCATTTCCCCTTTTACCTCCTTATATAATTGATAACATTGTCTGCTTTTGAAGAATAATTCTGGTTGTGTGGCTCTTGTTTCCATCTGTAGGTAAAAATGGAATCATGAATCCCTTTTGTGATTTGCTTTTAGAATTTAATTTGATATATGACATTTGATGAATGTAATTACCAATACCTGGAAAGGTTCCCCCTTTCTATGTGTTATATTTTCAAATAAAAATTTGGGTACTAGCTACCTAATGAAACAAACATTCATGTATAAAGTAAGAAAAGATAAGAATTTGTTCTGTTAGAATCATTTACTAGTTGGCTAAATGGCACACATCTTTTGTTTAAGAATACACAGTTATGCCTGGATTAAATAATAATAGTAAACTTGATAAGCCCTCTGAAAAACAGCTGCTAAACATACTGCTTTCTGGAATGTAATCATTAGGAATATTCTCTTGCTGTATACAATTACAGAATGCTAGTGGAACTTTCTTGTAGACTATTTGACAATGAATGTCAGTTGATATACTAAATGAATTTTTTAGTTATTTAATCCTTTTAGGGCTTGTTAGGACTTTACTGTCCTTGTTATAGAACATTTCAAATAATTGGGATGCTATCCTCGAACTTCTACTCATTGAAGTGTCCCTCTAGACATAGCAGATGGTTAGAGCTCCTTCGATGGTATATTACTGAGCTACATAAAGCTACTTCAACTACTGCATGAGTAAAATGGCTGTTTTCAGAAAAGAAAAAAAAACTCTGCTCAAAATTTCAACCAATAAAGACTAAAACAAGAGTTTTAGTACTCTAAAGGGAAAAGGTGTGCCCTGTGTATATTATTGCACACACTTCAATGCATGACTTTTAGTATAGGGGTGAAATAAAATGCTGAATATGTCATTCTGGAGAGCTCAGCAGCTAGTTAAATATTTAAAGAAGCTGCTTTATGAAGACTTAGAAAATCCTTGATTTTCTTCTTTTTCCCTCTCCATTAAAATATGGATGTTTTACATACACAGTTTTAACAAACAGATTGACCAGTGAGTTTTAGGGACTCAATTCTTCATATTTGGCTACTAGTTTTACACATAGGATCACAGTAAAATCCATACGCATCATTATACAAAACATAGTCATCTGCTTCAATATAAGCATAGTTCTTGATTTTAAATGTCAATATGATGTTAATATAATGTATATTTTGTGTCCATGTGGTGTTTTAAATTTTTTTTATCAAAAAGGCCATTAGAAATGTAAGCCACTGATGACCTCAGTGCGATTAGTTAACATTCTGTAGGAAGATGATTTAGGAAACAGTCAGTTCACATTTCAAAAGGGGACAAAGAGGGAACAGGAACCCAAACAAAATATTTTTAAATAAAATTGTATCTCTTAAAATATGTAATTCATATACATGTAACTCAACTTTTAAAGTATAAAGTTCAATGTTAGTAGTATATTCACTATACAGTATTGTCACTGCTAGCCAACTTCAGAACATGCTGTCATTCCATCATTCCCCAAAGAGGGGATCTATTAGCAGGCAAGCCTCTTTCTTCTCTTGCATTTGGCAGCAACTCATCTACTTTCTGTCTATGGATTTGCTTTTCATATAAATATAATCCTACAACGTGTGACCTTTTGTGCCTGGCTTCTATCAAGGTTAAGGTCATCTATGTTGTAGCATGACTCAATTATGTTCTTTTCATGACTAAGTAATAGCCCATTGTACATATAACATTTTATTTGTGCATTCATCAGCTTTTAGACATTTGGGTTCCACTTTCTGGCTATTATAAGTAATGCTGCTATGAACATTTATATAATTTTTGTATGTGGTCATAAGTTTTACAACTCAAGAATAGATTAGCAAATCAAGAAATTTGTATTTATTAAAAGAGAACTTCTTAAAGTTCTGCTTGGAGAATTAGACCCCAGAATAATGGATAGCTGTCCAGTATATCCATAAGAATCTTTCTCGGAGACTGTCATTTCTCTGTGGCAATTACCTTCTTGAGGGCTGCTTCAGTCTTTAGTAGACATTATTTTCTTATCACTAAGAAATTTCAAAATGCTCCACACTCCTCTAAAGGATCACAGCAATGATGCTGGAGAGGGACACTCAAAATCTTGTGGATCATTAAGTCAAAGAAGGAGCTTTTGAAAGGGACGACTTCTTAAATAACAGCTGTTCCATATTTGGATCTTCCTTCTTGAAAAGAATCATCAAATTGCCAAACCACCTGACTATCTGCAGTAATTTATGTTTTTATTATTAAGAAGTTATTCATACTGAGAGTAAAAGTGAAAAGAATGTATTTTATGTGCAAAGAATGAATGTATTTAACAAAATCTTTTTATTTGTAACAATTTTTTAAAAAAGCTGAATGGAAATTGCTTTCCCATGTACTTGTACATAAATAAACTTTTCCTGTTGCCCCCAATTGGAGGGTCATATGCCATGTCAACATGTCAAAAACATACCAACCTCAGGCATACAGATGTCCTTCAGTATGAGGTGGACTGTGTCCTGCATGTGGGGGTCTAGATTCTGAGTTTCGGTGTTGATACCTGGAAAACCTTGACAAGTCATTTAACATTTTGCTTGGTTTTCTCCTCTGTGACATAAAAGACTAGAGTAGATCACCTCCAAGGCTTCCTTAGGTTATAACACTGAGATTACTCTGTCGTATTCAGAGATGAGAATTATACGTAGTGGTGAAAGTGATGCTTTCTCCTATGATACATTAGAGGGAGTATCACACTGGTAACAAGGTGTATAAATTATAGTCCTGTCTCTGTGACACTAGGGTAATTTTTTTTTTCAAGCCTAAATTTTTCCATTCTCCAAATATAGGCATCTCTAAGTTTCTGTCTAGCTAAATGCATTACATAGTTCTATATTCCGTAGAGAGATCACTTAAAATATTACCCTATGGGCCGGGCGTGGTGGCGCACGCCTTTAATCCCAGCACTTGGGAGGCAGAGGCAGGCAGATCTCTGAATTCAAGGCCAGTCTGGTCTACATAGTGAGTTCCAGGACAGCTGGGGCTACAGGGAGACCCTGTCTCAAAAAGACCAAAAAAAAAAAAAACAAAAAAAAACAAAAAAAAACAACCCTACACAATTTGAAATAAGAGTACTTATTCATCACTAGTAAGACATTCACTCATCCATCCATTCATGTCTTTACCATATATTGTGTATACAGCATAAGCCAAACAGGAATCTATCCACCGTTTGGAGTCCCCTGTCCCTTCTACAGCAAGAGTCAAAGGTATTGTTCTAGTTTGTGTTCAGTTGCTGTGACAAAACACTGACCAAGACCATCTTGGGGAGGAAATGGTTTATTTGGTTTACATCTCCTGGGTCACAGTTCATCACTGAGGGAGCCCAAGATAGGAACTCAGGGCTGGAACCTGGAGGCAGGAGCTGGAGCACAGGTCATGTAGGAATGCTGCTTACTGGCTTGCTCCCCTGGTCAGTGCCCAGCTTGCTTTCTTATACAAGACCAGCTGCCCAGGAGTGGTTCCATCCACAGTGGGCTGGGACCTCCCGTATCACTCAGCAATCAAAAACAAAAAACACAACAAAAAACCCCACAAACATGGCCACAGACCAGTTCAATGGAAATTTCCCAGTAGAGACTCCCTCCCTCTACCCAGGTGTGTCAAGTTGACAACTAAAGCTATCCAGCACAGATAATGTATTTTTTCTCAAACTTCATCTCCACACCCAATATTTGTGTCTTGCCCTCTGGTTGAAAGATGAATGTTTTGGATTGAGGTAGATGGCTGAACAGGAGCACCCAACACTTACCTGTTCCTCCACAAATAAAAAAATCAAAGCAGGAACCTTGTAGATTCAAAGTCCCAGGACAATACCATAGTAGGAGAAAAATATCATGGCACCTTCTGGTCCAGCAGTCTCCCCTCTACAGAGTTAAGGGTGAAAAAGACTGCCAACATGGCTGCCAGCAACACTGGCCACTGGAAAGTTCTGCAACCCTCACAGGCTTGTTTAACTAGAGAAGCCCAAAATCTGCATAGTAGCTTTGCTTTGGAAACCCCAGCAAACCTACCATGAGCTGCAGTGAGGAGCCATCTTAAAAAGGAACCTATTGTCTGATTATGGATTGCTCTGCTCCGAGTATTAGAAACCCCTTTATATACAATTTCTTGGATACCACAGATGCTCCACTGCATTGGCTCAGTGGGCAGTTATCCCTGAAAACCAAACATGGCCTAGAGTGACTGTGACTCAAATCCACTGAGCACCCTGTGCTGTAAGGGTGGCTGCTAAAATATAAAGGGGGAAGGAAAGGATCAAGACTAGGAGATCCTCTATGGCTTCTTGCCAAAGGATGACATTCCTCTATGTGCTCTTACCATGATACCAAAGAGTGATGGGAAACTGTGTAGTTCACACCTGTGCCACTCAACTATGGGGTTCCAGTCACTCCTCCCTAAAATGCTGGACATAGGTGCCTGATAAGGAGCGGAAAGTCTGTGATTCTACTAATGCCTCACCCACAAGGGCATGCTGGGTAGCTGAGAACAATGTCCCAGCTCTAGGTTGCCATCCTGTCCTGGGTTACATGGTCTGAGGAGGTCCAGAGAGAAACTGCCTGACAGTGGCTGTGACACACTCTTGCTTACATGTGCAGGCACTTCAGTTGAGTCTTGAGGAGAAAAGCCCTAGCCATTAGGTTATTACATGGTTCAACAACAAATGAACGAGAGAATGTAACTGAAGACAGGGGTTTTGAAATATGCCCACTGAGAAAAATAGTAACAAAATAATGCTGATAAGAACACAGTATATATAAAAATGCAATAAGGAAGCCCAATGCTTTGTAAGTAAGCTAACTTGAAAAACTAATAGTAGAAAAGAATGAAGGGAACATTCGTGGTCCATGGTATACCGTTAAAGATCAAACACCTATATCATTAGTATAGTCAAAAAGAAATTAAACACATGGAAACTTATTCCTGATGTTGGGCATGGTGGTGCACACCTGTGGAGGACCATGAATTTGAGCCGGTATACCCTGTGCTACATAGAAAACTTTGAAAAAAAAAAAAAAATAACATGCCTATTCAATTACATCGAAAATTCCCTATTCTTGAAAATGATATGGACATACCAATACAGGAGACTTATTTAACTCCAAATACACATGGCCAGAAAAGATCTTCTCCACAGCACATTGTAATCAAACTTATTTTAAAAGTACATGTAAAATTTAAAATCTGCAAGAGGAAAGTGCCAAGTCAACACGGAGGAATCATTTCCTCCATGCTTCCAAGAGAAGCCAACAATGGTCGAGCAGGACCTTTGACTTATCCTCACATGGAGGGAGCTGGTAAAAGAAAGGAGCCAGGGGCTCCTCCCAACCCCATGGGACCCCTGAGGAACAAATCCTCTAACGACCTCAAGAGTAAAAACAAATCAGTTTATCTGGTCCAAGTGTATGTCCTTAAACACCCAAAAGGGAAGTATAACCAAAGATTAAAGGGGCCAACATAATATCATAAGAGCATACATATACATAACTAAAAATTACTCGACAAACAACAAAGCCAGACAGACGATACCTTCAGTC